ATTTTCAGTATTCCGATATTTTTTAAGACACAGGATTAAAAGAAAAAAAATTTTTTTCTTCCCGAAGCACACGATAAATCAAAGACTTCAATGTGCTGGTTGAATTGCTTACCGCTATTAATTTGCCATCGGTCACTTCTCTCTCGATGCTCGTCTCTTTGCCGTCCCAGCTCTGCTTCTGCACAAGTTTGCCATTTTCCAAGCTGATGACGGTCTAAACACGCACACACACAGAAAGAGAGACCAGCCCTCCGGCTTAGTGGACGCACGTATGCACGCATGCATGCACCCACTCGAGAAGAACGAGACAAAGCAAGTGTGGGGTTCGAACCCGCGTCTTCCTGTCGTCGGCGGTGGTCTCCTCGAAGGGTTCGTTGAGCTTGAATTTGATCTCGGAAGTCTTGAACGTGCTCTGGGTCTTCATGCTCACGGTGCCCTGCTCGTCCACCGTGACGATCAAGTTGGGCTTGGTGCGGTTGCCCACCTGCCGGATGGCGAAACCGACGCCTGCGCACCAGCACAAGCGCACAGCAAGTCAACGACGTCCCATTTGTGAGGAGAAAAGCGCAGGTACGTGGACATAAAATCAATATTGCAGAGGGGATTTCGTGAACTATTCCTAGTTGCAGGTTAACAAAGTTCGAAATAAAAAATGAATAATAATAATAATAATAATAATAATAATAATAGTCTGGCTCATACTACCTTGTGTGTTTTATATACTTGGCCAATAAAGATTATTCCAATAATAGTAAAAAATAATATCTTACCAATTGCTTTCATATAGTCATCAAAGTTCTCGCTGGAAATCATCTTCCACGTCCCGACAAACTTCTCAACCATTGTTGCAAGTGTTTGTTTTGGTTTTCTGGTGATATTCCAAATTTGTGTGTAAACTCCCAAATCTGACAGTATCGTAAACGCTCCCAGTATTTATGAAGGACGAAGGTCCAATCAGAGAACGAGACGTCATAGCAATGAGACGGGAGAGAAAGCCCGCCCCCCGGCTTCACCGGGTTGCTACTAGCATCTTTGGCTAACATTGCTAGATGGCAAAGTAATGGCAGTAGATTCAACTTTATGAGGAATTTGCGGTAAGTATCACTTTCGACATATTTTACAAAAGTATAATGTCAGAAACGTGTATTTTGACCATATATAGATATAGCTATAACATTCCAAAGTGCAAAAGATACAACAATTGTAGTAATAAAATATTAAAAAAAAAAAAAAAAAAAAAAACAGATCAGTCAAGACAACGATCAAGACATACAGAAGATATGAATATAAAGGAGAAAAAAGTTACAAGGGCAAAGAGAGAAAAATATTGTGCTTCAATATGGGGCATAAAAGATTATATGAACACATTGAAATTACTGCAGATTTCTATTTTTAGAGAAAATGCACTGTATTGTCTCAATTATTAATAAAAGTCAGTCAAGGATGGATTTCTCCCATGGAATTTACAACAATGAATATATTTTGACATTCGTACCAAAAAGTTTATCAGATAATACGCATTATTTTTTTTTCATGCAATCTTAAACAAAACAAATAATACATTTTTGCAGGCAGTGATGACACCCTTTTCAATATTATTGTGAATAAAATCACACAATTTCTGCTAAAACAAACTAAAATATTGACTGTTCTCACATAAATGAACAATAGGGGTGTTCAATGACGGTCGTTCGGAACTCTGTACTATGACTTCACGTGAAGTTAATTGATAGACTTTTTAAAATGAGTAACATTTTCTTGTCATTTTTAACATGCTGTTTTATAATGATAATTACACATAAAGTATTTTATTTTTTGGGGGGTTGAGGCACAACATTAATTGCTCAGAACATCCATCCATCTTCTAATCCGCTTCTCCTCACAGGTGTGCTGAAGCCGATCGCAGCTGTCTTCCTGCAGTCGCTGCCTACGCCAGCTGTCTTTTGGCAATTGGCGGGGAAACACCCTGAACTGGTTGCCAGCCAATTGCAGGGCACACTCAGACGAACAACCAGTAGCGTTCCCAATTACACCTAGAGACAATTTTGACTGTTCCATCAACCTGCCATGCATGTATTCATGTATTTGGAATGTGGAAGGAAACCAGAGCACTCGGAGAAAACCCACACAGGCACAGGTAGAACTCCACACAGGAAGACCGGAGCCAGACACGAACCCTACACCTCTGCACTGTGAGACAGACATGCTAACCAGTTGTCCACCGTGCCGCCCTGCTCAGAACATGTTGACTAACTATCACAACCTGCAAAGTATCAAACTCGGGCACTTGTTCGTTTTTAACTAGCATCTTTGACTCACCTGTCATGTTAACTTAAATTCCTATTTTGTTGCAGATGAGTATTATGACTGGTTTGTTTTAAATATGTACTTTGATGAAGGGCTGGGAAATATAGCCTCAAAATAGTTTTCAGTGGTTCGAAACACACAAAAAAACACTTGTGTATTAAGGGTCACTGCTTGCAAAATGTCCTCCCTAAATGTTGGGAAAATCAAGCATGATGCAACATGACCTCCTTTGGATCGACTTTTCGGGGAGGGGGACAAACAAAGCAAAACCAAATAATCTGCTCAACATCCAATGAGACATATTTTATTATAAATAACCAGTTATGTAGACAAGAGCATGTGGATTGCTATTTGGCTGCAGCCTTGGCCTGCGGGTCCTTGGCTGTACATCGGGCCTGGAAGGCGCTGAGCATCTCTTTGCTTGTCAGGTTGGCGCCCTTCATCAGCAGCCTCTCGCCGTCCACTGAGGAGGAAAACAAAGCAGGAGGAGCTCGTCAGGACAATGACACAATGGCCGGACAAAGTTAAGTGTGAGTAAACGTCAAGCAGTGCACACACAATAGGACGGCGAGCTGCTCTTGACCTATGGCATAGATGCATGTGTTTTCACTCGCAAAATGATGAATTGCAAGGCAGAGGAGTGGAACCTTAGTTCAACACAAGTCGGTTGTTGGACTTCCAAAACGAATGTTTCCCATCAGAAATAATGGGCCTCGAAATAACTGGGTTTATTGTCAAAGTGAAGAAACCATCAACTAAATCAAACCTAAAATAAACAATCCGAAAACATGAAATATAATCTAAAATGTCTCATCAACCAATGCCACAAAAAAAAAGAGGAATATACAAATTGATGTATGGTTACAGTTCAGTTCAGTTATATTTAACTTTTGATTTTTTAAAAACTTTCCAAAAAAAGTTCTTTTTGTTTTCTCATAACAGTATAATTGAAGTACTTTTTCTATTTTACTTTATGTAAGTTTTCATTTTCAAACTGTGCTCGATGTTTCACTGGCGTACAATAATATGAAATCATTAGCCTAAGAGCATAGTGGCCCCAAGTCGTTTTTAACATACTGTCACCATATCAATAAAAATAACATGTTCGTGATTTTTTTTTTAATCTATCGTCTCAATCTCAAAGGAAGGCATTTTTATGATTCCTCAACTTACAATCAGTTCATTTTTTTTTTAATACTAGAGGATTTCAATGTTGGTCATTATGAAAGCACTTGGAGAAATTAGCTTTTTGTTCAGGTTTAACATGTGGCTTATATTTTAATGTATGAATACATCGCGAACTATTATCACATAATACTACTACTACTCATTTTGATGTTATTCGTTTTGCCATTTTTTTAACCAGAATGTTTTCTCAAAAAAAAAAAAATCTATGACTTTAGGGTGGGGTTCCTAGTGTGTCAAGCAATCTATTTCATGAAGCATCCCCCATGATACATAAGTGTCGCTTTGGCGCCATCTTGTGGCATCGTGGACCTAACATACTATGTCAAAGTGAGTTTCACTTTGACAAAGGTTGTGCTTTGCTCCCATCTTGATGGCCAATTCGATTTTCACTTTCTGTGTCAGGAGGGTTCGCTGTTCCAACATGTTAGCATTTGCACCTTTGCAGCTAATTCCGCTCAGGTTACAGACAGCTGTCACTTATTTGTCAGAGCAAATGATTTACACACACTTACCATAAGTGACATCCACAACAGGTTCCGACTTGTCGTGTTTCACCATGGATATGACCTCGCAGTTTAAATTGGTCGATCTGGCCCTCTCCGAGCCCACCATGACCAGAAATTCCCTGCAGGAGATCGACCAAGACACAGTCCGTATACTGTACCACAGTCCGTAACGACACTGAGACATTTAAGCAAACTGACTTTTATTAATGTATCAGTAGGATTGGTCAAAACTTAACGACATGCAATAATTAGCGCTTATTCAACCGGATAACACGGCTAAGAGGTTAAACCGTACAGTACCACCATTTTATATGCATATTACACATAAAAAAGTGACAGACACGATTGACTTTCGTGTAAAGAGAAGGCTAATTGGCAACATGCTAACCCGGCAATCCGCGGAGAAAGTTTTTTCGTGTTGTCATTTGCGGTTATTAGGCACGGCGCGAGGGCCCAAAATCCATCCACGGGCGTCTTTACCTCGTCGAGCGCACGTTAGCCTCGAAGGGGCAAAAGTGGACGGCGATTTTCTTCACCGCCTTCAGCACCACGGACGCTTTACCGGGGGCCGCCATGTTTTTTTCCAGCTGACACGCCGGGACGAACAGCGCGATATTCGTCAGTGGCCACTGGAGGGCGCCAGACGACCTGTGTAGTTTAATAATGTGGCTTCATAAAAATACACCACATACAATGATAGCGTAAAACGGCGCACGCCAAATGGATAAAAAAAAATCAACAATTAAAATTTGTTTTACTCTTAATTTTATTAATAACTATCGTATACTTTGGGGGAAATATTTTAACAGGGTTTGTAAAGTAGAAGTGATGGCTTTTGTACAATGATTGTTGCATCATATCGAGCTTTTCCTCAAATTGGTTCATTAAAATGTATTTACAAGAGTTCTATTAATTTGTTTAATCATGAATCATTTCTTGCTTTATGTATTTTAAATATTAAATTCAAATCAAGGTATATTCCTTTTGCAGTTGGGATGTCTTACATAATTTGTCCATCCATCCATCCATCTATCCATCCATCCATCCATTTTCTAATCTGCTTATCCTCACTAGGGACACGGGCGTGCTGGAGCCTATCCCAGCTGTCTTTGGGCAGTAGGTGGGGTACACTGTGAACTGGATGCCAGCCATTCGCAGGGCACAGATAGCTGAACAACCATTCACACTCATAATCACACCTTGGGACAATTTAGAGTGTTCCATCAACCCGCCATGCATGTTTTTGGAATGTGGGAGGAAACCTGGGGTTTCTGCAAGTATTGCTACTTGCAGAAACCCCACGCAGGCATGGGGAGAACATGCAATGTAGTTTGTTCAATAATTATTATTCAATTAAAAATTGAAAACACAAGAGTAAACCCATGCGCAGGTTCTATGTTGGTTTGTATGCATTCTGTCATGATGAACACACACGCCGGATTTCAAAAATGTTCTTCCACGCGTCTGACGGGGTTTTGGGTGGGGTGGTCTCATTCGTGCAGACAATATACTGTATGTTGCAAAGATAATACTTGTGTTGTGGCAGAGTCCCTGATGGGTGAAGTGCTGCATGCCAAAAATAGCCAGTCCATTCTTTCAGGTCATCCCGCCCTCACTTGAGGATTTATTGTGCCACACTGTCGCCGCTTTCTTACAGTAGGAGCCCTAAAAATGACTCAAATAAGCATCGACAGTACTTTGTGTGTGTGTGTGTGTGTGTGTGTGTGTGTGTGTGTGTGTGTGTGTGTGTGTGTGTGTGTGTGTGTGTGTGTCAAGGAAATGCTGGAGTCTCCATCTAAATTTAGCCGGCATTTGGCTCCACTGTCCAACTGTCACAGGCGGCGGTTACATTTGTGTTTCAGGAAGGAGGCCGGAGGCAAGATAACGACACGTTACACGGTTGGTTCTTTATGCGCTCTTGAAAA